TCCCTCCAGCTGCAATCAGAGAGCTACTCAGAATTTGCAAAGACTTGCTGGAAGGCACATGCCGCTCTGAGCCAATGAAACTGGGCTTTCTAGCCTTCACCCTACAGCAAATCCTGAGAGGGCACAGTCTCAGCTCTGACCCCTGCCACTACAGTGGAGAATTATCCTGTCTGTGCTGAAACCTGCTGAGAGACACACGCCTACCTGGGCCAACAAGATCGGCTCTCTAGCCTCCTTCCATAGCAAATCCCAGCGGGGTCCAGTGTTAGTCCTGGCCCCTCCTGCAGCAATCAGGCAACCATCTCATCTGTGTAGGGACTTGCTGGGAGACACATGCACCTCTGAGCCAATGACCACTACCTCACAGCAGATCCTGAGGATGCCCAGTCTAAGATTTGGCCCCTCCCGCTGCAGTCAGGGAACTATTCTTAGTGTGCAAGAACTTTGCTGGGCAATGTGCACCTCCCTGAACCAAGACAGGGCTCTCTAGCCTCTGTTCCATAGCAGATACCAAGGGGACCTATGGTCACTTCCAGCCCCTCCTGCTACAATCAGGGAATTATTCCATCTATGCAGAGACATGCTGGCAGATGTATGCCTGTCTGAACCACCATGCCAGGCACACCAGCCTCCAGCCCACAGCAGATCCCAAGGGGTGCCAGTCTCAACTCTGGTCTCTTGTTGCAGTCAAGGAACTACTTTTGCAGGGACCTCCTAGGTGACATGCACCTGTCTAACCCAATGAGATGGACCACCAGCTTCATTCCTATAGCAGATCCCAACATGGCCCAGTCTTTTTTTATTTTTATTTTTTGAGATGGAGTCTCACTCTGTTGCCCAGTCTGGAGGGCAATGGCACCATCTTGGCTCACTGCAACCTCCACCTCCCAGGTTCAAATAATTCTCTGCCTCAGCCTCCTGAGTAGCTGGAATTACAGGCACCTGCCACCACGCCCGACTAATTTTTGTATTTTTAGTAGTGGTGGGGTTTCACCATCTTGGCCAGGCTGGTCTTGAACTCCTGACCTTGTGATCCACCCGCCTCAGCCTCCCACAGTGCTGGGATTACAGGTGTGAACCACCGTACCCAGCAATGGCCCAGTCTTTTTTTTTTTTTTTTTTGAGACGGAGTTTCACTCATGTTACCCAGGCTGGAGTGCAATGGCGCGATCTCGGCTCACCGCAACCTTCGCCTCCTGGGTTCAGGCCAGGCAATTCTCCTGCCTCAGCCTCCTGAGTAGCTGGGATTACAGGCACGCACCACTGTGCCCAGCTAATTTTTTGTATTTTTAGTAGAGACGGGGTTTCACCATGTTGACCAGGATGGTCTCGATCTCTTGACCTCGTGATCCACCCGCCTCAGCCTCCCAAAGTGCTGGGATTACAGGCTTGAGCCACTGCGCCCAGCCTGGCCCAGTCTTAAATCCAGTACCTCTGGCTACAGTTCTACAGTTGAGACCCATCCTGCCCATGCAGAGACCTGCTGGGAGGCACACATGTCTGGGCCACTGGGACAGTGTTCTGGACTCAGGTCTCCTTGGCCTGCATTCTCACATAGCCCCAGTCCTGTCTTTGAGTCTTCCCAGAGCCACTTGGGCGAGAAAGCCACAACAATCTCAGTCTTTGCAAGACTGGCAGCAAGGCTGGGTTTAAACCACTCCTGAGTACTGAGATACCAGTAGTGGTCCCAGGCTCAGGAAACATAACAGTCAATCTGCTTAGAATCCCTGGAAGTCCCTCTGAAGAAGGACAGGCACAAACAAAGCCAGACTACAAAGGCAAAAATAAATACCTAACATTTCAAAGAACAGACATTATCCAACTTCTACAAACATTAAGAACACACAAGGAAATATGACTTCACCAAACAGACAAAATAAGATGCCAGAGACCAACCATAAAGTAATAGAGATGTGTGATCTCTCAGACAAAGAATTCAAAGTAACTGTTTTTGGGGTGTTTTTTCCTTTGTTTTTTGAAACAGGCTCTCATTCTGTCACCCAGGTTGGAGTGCAGTGGCATGAAATGGATTATTGCAGCCTCAACCTCCTGGGCTCAAGCAGTCATCCCACCTCAGCCTCCCATGTAGCTGGGACCACAGGCATACACCACCATGCCTGACTAATTTTTTGGTAGAACTGGAGTCTCACTTTGTTGCCCAGGGTGGTCTTCAACTCCTGGGCTCAATCAGTATTCTTACCTCAACATCCCAAAGTGCTGGGATTATAGGTATAAATCACCATGCCCAGTCAAAACAGATGTTTTAAAGAAGCACAATGAACTTTAAGAAAACACAGAGAATCAACTCAGAAATTTACCAGAGAAATTTAACAAAGAGATTGAAATAATTAAAAAAAAGAAACCCTGGAATTGAAAAATATAATGAATAAAAAAGGCAATAGAGAATATCAACAGCAGATTAATCAAACAGAAGAAAGAATCAGTGAGCTCAAAAACTATATGAAAATATACAGTCAGATGAGAAAATAGGAAGAATGAAAAGGAATAAAGAAAGCTTGCAGGATCTATGGGACAACAGCAAAAAAGAAAATATTAGGGTTGCTAAAGTTAAGGAGGGATATAAGAAAGATAAAAGGAGTAGAAAGGTTATTCAAAGGATAACAGAAAACTTTCCAAATCTGGAGAATGGGTGGGTGTGGGTGTGCATGTACCCCACCATGCCATTACTGCCAGGGTAAGCACACTCACTTCCACTGCCACTGCCAGCCTGAACGTTGAGCATGGACAACAGTGACCCTGCACCATGGCCCATGCTGCCACTGGGCCATCCAAAGGATGGCACCTTCAAAGACTGAAAGAGTGTCAGTCCACACAGATGAGAAATAAGCAGCCAAGAACTCTGCCAAATCAAAAAGTCAGAGTGTCTTTTTACCTCCAAATGACCACACTAGTTCTCCAGCAGTAGTTCTTAAACAGGTTGAAATGACAGAAATGGAATTTAGAATATGGATGAGAATGGAGATCACTGACATTCAGGAGAAAGCTGAAACCCAATACAAGGAATCTAAGGAATAAATAAAATACAGGAGATGAAAGATGAAATGGTCATGTTAAGAAAGAAGCAAAGTGAGCTGATACAGCTGAAAAACTCACTTCAAGAATTTCAGAACACAATTGTAAGTGTTAACAGCAGAATCAACCAAGCTGAGGAAAAATTCTCAGAGCCCAAAGACTGGCTTTCGAAAATAACTCAGTAAAACAAAAAAAAAAAAAAAAAAAAAAAAAAACAGTAAGGAAAAATGAACAAAACCTCTGAGAAATATGGGATTATGTAAAAAGACCAACAATATTACTCAGTGGTATCCCTGAAAGACAAGGAAAGAAAGCAAACAACTTGGAAAACATATTTCAGGATATCATCCATGAAAACTTCCCCAATCTTGCTAGAGAGGCCAACCTTCAAATTCAAGAAATGTAGAGAACCCTTGTGAAGTACTACACAAGAAGACCATCCCCAAGAAACATAGTAATCAGATTCTCTAAGGTCAAAATAATAGAAGAAATGTTAAAGGCAGCTAGACAGAAAGGGCAGGTCACCTACAAAGTGAACACCATCAGCTAACAGAAGACCTTTCAGCACAAATCAGAAGAGAATAGGGGCCTGTATTCAGCATTCTTCCTTTTGTTTTTGTTTTTCAGACAGAATCTCACTCTTGTCATCTAGGCTGGAGTGCAGTGGTGCATTCTTGGCTCACCCCAACCTCTACCTCCCAGGTTCAAGGGATTCTCATGCCTCAGTTTCCCAAGAAACTGGAATTACAAGCATGCATCACAATGCCTAGCTAACTTTTTACGTTTTTAGTAGAGACAGGGTTTCACCATGTTGGCCAGGCTGGTCTTGAACTTCTGGCCTCAAGTGATCCACCTGTCTCAGCTTCCCAAAATATTGGGATTACAGGCGTGAGCCACCAAGCCAGGCTCAGCATTCTGAGAAGAAAAGAATTTTCAACCAAGAATTTCATATCCAGCCAAGCTAAGCTTTGTAAGTGAAGGAGAAATAAGATCCTTTTCAGACATGCAAATGCTAAGGGATTTTATTAGCATCAGACACGATCATCAGAGAGGACTTGAAGGGAGTGCTACACTTGGAAAGGAAAAACTGTTACTGGCCCACTACAAAAACACACTTAAGTAAGCAGACCAGTAACACTATAAAGCAACCACATGAACAAGTCTGCATAATAATGAGCAAATCCTCACATATCAATATTAACTTTGAATGTAAATGAGGTAAATGACCCAGTTAAATGGCACAGTGATAAGTTGAATAAAGAAGCAAGAACTGACGGTATGCTGTCTTCAAGAGACCCATCTCACATGTGATGACACCTTTAGGCTCAAAGTAAAAGGATGGAAAAAAATCTACTAGGCAAATGGAAAACAGAAAAAAAGCAGTTGTTGAACTTACTCTAAATTCAGATTAAACAGACATTAAACCAATAAAGATAAAAGAAGACAAAGAAGGACATTATTTACATAATGGTAAAGGGCTCAATTCAATAAGAAGACATAATTATACTAAATATATATGTATTCAACAGAGTAACACCCAGATTCAAAAAGCAAGCTGCTTTTAGAGACATAAAGAGACTTGGATAAACATACAATAATGGTGCAGGACATCAACACCCCCATAATAATATTAGACAGATCACTGAGGCAGAAAACTAACAAAGATATTCAGGATCTGAACTCGTACTTGATCAAATGGACCCAACTGACATCTATAGAACGCTCCACCCCCAAACAACAAAATATACATTCTTCTTAGCTGCACGTGGCACATATTCTAAAATCAACCACACAATCGGATAGAGAACAATTCTTAGTAAAAAAATTTTTTAAATGAAATCATACCACACTGTTGGACCATAGCAGAATAAAGTAGAATTACTAAGAAAATTGCTCAAACCCATATAATTACATGGAAATAAAACAACCAGCTCTTGAATGACTTTTGAGTAAATAAGGAAATTAAGGGAGAAATCAAGATATTCTTTGAAACTAATGAGAACAGAGGCAACATACTGATACAGGAGGTAGAAAGAAATGATTTAGGCAGATAAGGGTAAAAGAGTCCTCAGCAGAGTTTCCCGTTTAGCAAGAAGCAGACCAAGAAATTTTTTTTTTTTTTCCAACAAAGAGCAGCCTGAAAAATTGAGCTGAAAACATAAACAAGCTGTAAGTCTGCACGGGGGAATGCCCAGTTGTGCCCATAGAAAAGGGCTACCTGGGAGCCAGGCATGTCCAACATGGAGGCTTCATCTTCCCTTTTTTTGTTACTACAGGTACAGTAAAGGAAAGGGCAACATGGTACAGGCCAGGTAGAGGACCTGCCTGCATAACAAAAGATTAGCGTGGGGGTGGCCATTTTTTGTGCCCTATGCAAATGACACATCTAGTCCTAACCAGTTTTTCACACCCTATGCAGATGGCACACCTGGTCCAACCAATCTTCTACACCCTATGTAAATCAGACACTGCGTCATTAGACATCTATAAAAGCCCCTGCATTTAACCACAGATCCTACAAGCCACTTCTCTGGGATCCCCCTCTCCAGGAGAAAGGTATTCTTTTCTACCTATTAAACTTCCACTCTTAACCTCACTCTTTGTGTGGCCAGGTCCTTGATTTCCTCAGCCATGAGACAACGAACCTCAGGTATCAACCCCAACAATGAGGCCACTTCATTGTAGGGCCCATCTGGGATCCAAGGTAGATTCATTGGAAGGGTGAGTATAGAAGCAGACCCCAAATCTTTACTTTCATTTTAGGGCCTTCTGCCCTCCATTTTAAAATCAAACCAAAAACACTAGGTGTCTGATGGCCACCTAGATGCCCTTAGGTGCCACTCATCTCAAGAGTCAGATGACAGGCTTGCTGGGGAGAACTTAGTGAATCCCTCAGTACCCTCAGGGTGCTGGGAATGTTGATTCTGTTTCAAACCAGTTTCCTTTCACAGAGTCTAGCCATTGCATGGGGCTGGAAGAGATCCAGAGGCAACTGTTAGTTCCTGGCCAGGGCTACATCCAGGTATTAACCTGAAGGCTTCTATATTAACCTCAGGCTCTGACTTCCCATTGGGCATCAGTAACAGGATCTCCAAGCTTTTCCTATTGCATTTTTTCCTTCTTTCCTGTCCATGACTGCCATGTCTCCTATCTCTCTCTGTATGCAATGCTGCAGGAATTTTTACCCTTCAAGGAAATAATCCTGTTAGATAGGATCAGCAAATGCCATAGTAACCAGGAATATAATACAAGTGATTACCATTTTTTGTTTTGAGATGGAGTCTTACTCTGTCACCAGGCTGGAGTGCAATGGCGTGATCTTGGCTCACTGTAGTCTCTGCCTCCCAGGTTCAAGCGATTCTCCTGCCTCAGCCTTCCCAATAGCTGGGACTATAGGCACATGCCACCACGCCCAGCTAATTTTTGTATTTTTCAGTAAAGACAGGGTTTCACCATGTTGGCCAGGATGGTCTTGATCTCTTAACCATTGTGATCCATCTTCCTCAGCTTCCCAAAGTGCTGGGATTACAGGCATGAGCCACTACACCTGGCCAGTGATTACCATTTTTGTGATTTTCTAGGAATAGAGGGTCTCCCCTTCCCCAGCAGTGAGCATCTCTCTCTTTACCCTTGGTCTGGAGATCACATGGTATTTCAAGGTCTACAGCGCCACCTAGTGGAATAGGAATCTTCTCCATGAGGTACTTAGCCTAAACACTCTAGTTCCCCAATTCTCCTCCCCTTTGGTACCCCTCTGTTAGAGAACAGGCTTTATGTCCCTTCTGTGAATGAGAAAACTCAACAGTGAGGAGGAAAATGTCCTCTGAAACAAAATTTTGGTTTTGATACTGTCCCATCAGCAGGAAAACTACGATTCAGTTCCTACATTCTTTTAAGGCACCTATTTTTCCTCCTATTAAAATGATACTTAAATAGTAAGGGGATTTTTATGTCTTGAAGTTAACTAGAACCACTGCCTAGCAATAAATACTTTTGTCCAGGCCATAACAACAATATAGAGCTCAACCCAATACACTCTCTCCATTAAGGGGCTTTGCCCAAATACAACTGTTACATAGTCTTTCCAAAGATCCGTCTATTGGGGAGCCACATAGATCATACAAGTCTGGGAAGTCAAAAGGAAATCACCAGTGGAGGATTAGAGTTGTATGGGTAAGTGTGACTATAAATCCATCCTTTAGCTCCTCTAGATCCATGGCTGAGGGACACAACTGCATCCGAGAGTGGCACCTTTAATGGATGCCACAGCCCAGGGAACCAAGGAGGGAAAACAGTTGGGGGGATACTCCCATTGTCTTCCTCTCTATCTTGGACCATTCCAAAGGAAGGAGAGGAATGAGGGACTCTTTACCTCCTCTATCTTTCTAGCCATCTTTAGCCTACACCCCTCTCAAGTGCATTCTGAAGCACTGAGACACCTTTAATCCTGAAACTTTGCTTTTGTACAAGGGCATGGGCTTCTTACTAGACCTTTGCAAACATTGCACAATCAACTAAGCTCTTTTAGCAGTCATATCAGGCATTCCCAAAGGGAATGATTCCCCAAAACTAAGAAAGCAACTTCAGGTAGCTATTGAGTGTCTTGGCTCTTCTTGTCCCCCTTATTTGGTGCCCCCTCCAATTGCACCATCAGCTCCTCTAGTTCCACTATCTCCAAAACTCCCCATTCTCCCAGCTTCACTCTTACCCCTACAGGAAATGCCCAATGGAGGCGATGCCACTATAGCTCAAGGTCCTGTCTCATTGCATGACTTTAGGCAAATAAAGGGATATTTAGGCTGATTTTCTGATGACTCTGATAGGTATATAGAAGCTTTACAAAATTTAACTCAGGTGTTTGACCTCTCATGGAAGGATGTTATGCTGCTCCTAAGCCAAACCCTAACTGCAGCTGAAAAATAAGCAGCTCTGTAGGCAGCAGAGAAATTTGGAGATAAGCAATATGTCTCTTGTAGGGCAAAAAGGAAAAGAGAAAATAGGGAAGGTGAAGAGATGGGGAACCATCATTCCCAGTAGGGAAGAGAGGCAGTACCTCTTGACAACCCTAATTAGAATCTGATGACTCCACAGATGAATGGAAAAGAAAATACTTTTTAATGTGCATCTTGGAGGTCCTAGGAAGAACTGGGAGGGTCAGACCTCTTGATTACTCTAAACTGTCCATGATAAACCAAAAGCCAGATGAGAATCCTACGGCCTTTATGGAAAGGCTGAGAGAGGCCCTAACAAAACACACCTTATCCCCTGGTTCAGTCAAGGGACAGATATCCCTAAAGGACAAGTTTATTACACAGGCAGCTCCCAATATTAGAAGGAAACTGTAGAACCAGACTATAGGACCAGATATATCCTTGGAAAACCCCCTGAGGGTAGTTATCTCGGTTTGTCTTTCTCTCTTCTTCCTAATCCAGGCTTCCTCTTTTTCCATAGCATGACTGTGATGGGCACCTCAGGAAAGTTTCTAACCCGATATTTTTCTCAATCCCTTAGTTGTAGTTGGGAGGACCTATTATTTACACATGCCTTTTTGCTATGGCTGAAAGTCCCACTCCTTTATTAAGCAGAGACATTTTTGCTTGTATGGGGGGCCAGCATCCTTACAACCCCAGGACAAACTTTGTCTCCCCCTGGTAGAAGCTATCATTAATCCAGAAGTGTGGGCAATTCAAGGAAGAATAGGTTGAGCTATGACCACTAGACCAGGAGGAGGCCCTGGATAAAGACAGGGAACACAAGAGAAGGACAGAGCCTCTAGAAGCTGCTTTGCAGGCTTGCAAAGTCCAAGATCCCCAAGCTGTATCCATTAGTTGCTACCAGTGTGGCAAGTCAGGGCACTTTAAGAAGGAGTGTCCAGGCAGCAAGTAGAAGCCACCTCGACCCTGTCCAGCCTGTGGTGGGGATCACTGAGATCAGAATACCCCTGCAGACAGAGGTCACTGGGTTCAGAACCAGTCTCACAAATGCTCCAATGGGACTGATGAGTCCTGGGCCTCAGACCCCTGGCTCCAGCAGCTCAAACTGTCATTACTGCACAGGAGCCCCCAAATGATTCTGAAAATTGAAGGAAAGAAGGAAGGTGAACCTCCTTCTGGACATGGGAACAGTCTGTCTCTTCTCCCTAATCCAGAGCTCCCCTTTTCCCATAGCATGACCGTGATGGGCATCTCAGGAAAGGTTCTAACCTGACATTTTTCTCAACCCCTTAGTTGTAGTTGGGAGGACCTATTATTTACACATGCCTTCTTACTCATGCCTGAAAGTTCCACTACTTTATTAGGCAGAGACATTTTAGCTTGCATGGGGGCCAGCATCCTTACAGCCCCAGGACAAACTCTGTCTTCTCCTGGTGGAAGCTGTTATTCATCCAGAAGTGTGGGCAACTCAAGGAAGAGGTTGAATTATAACCACTAGGCCAGTCCAGATCCACCTTAAGGATCCCACTTCCTTTCCTAACCAGACAGTATCCCCTAAGGCCAGAGCTAGGAAGGGGCTAGAAGCCATTATTAATAACCTGAAAATGCAGGGCCTCCTCAAACCCTGTAGCAACCCCTGCAACACCCCAATATTAGGAGTGCAAAAATCCAATGGAGAATGGAGACTAGATCAGGATCTGTACCTCATTAATAAGGCCATAGTTTCAATTTATCCAGTGGTCCCCAGTTCCTATACCTTGCTAACCCAAATGCCTGAGGGAACTAAATCGTTCACAGTCCTAGATCTAAAGGATTCCTTTTTCTATATGCGATTACAGCCTGACTTTCAATACCTGTTTGCCTTCAAAGTTCCCTCTGGCCAGATGTCTACTTAACATGGACAGTGCTGCCTCAGGGATTTTGAGACAGTGCCCCTTGTTTGGACAGGCACTGTCAAAGGACCTCTCTGAGTTTTTGGGGTCTTGCAATATGTAGATGACATACTGCCTTGTGCCCCAACTGGTGAGGCTCCTCTAATTTCCTA